CCACCTTTTAAATGTTGTGATATTGCATACAAGTTTAATCAGTGACCAATTTCAATGCATTGAAATTGACTCCCTGTGACCCGAACTGTGTTGATTGTATGTGAATATATCTATAGTGAATGTGAATTTCTATGGCCTGTGTTGATCTATCGGTGACTTCTTTGTCCTAATATGTGACCAATGCCACTATATATCAGTATGTCCACATTAAATATGAATATGTGGTCTGAACTGATCTATGTGTGGCTTATTTTTAGTATGTTATACTATTATATTTAAATGAAATATTATATTTTAGCGTGTAAGAGATCACAAATTGTGAAATGTGAAAGATATAGTAAATCTGGTCACAATTGTAGGACACACAAGGACCCGATGCCATTTAACCAAATCCAACGGAAATTGAAAGCAAAGAAACAACCAAACCATTTCACATAGCTTATCGTAATTTGTTAAACATGACGATATTATTTGTAGTTTCACTCGATTTTATTGTTGTTTTGTCACCTATATATTTTTGGATTATAATTTTAAATTCTTTCATTGTGACTTTACCATTTCATGGTGACTTTACCATTTATGAGTTGTGAAACAAGATTTTGATTGTGACAAATGGGAATGTTTATATTGTGTTGTCTATAAAAATATTTAGTTTAGCATTTCATATTTTGACAGGTTCGTTCAGGCTACAGATTTAGTTATATACTTTTATTTTTATTTTTGATGATTGTGACCATTTGTGACTTTTCGTGTTACTATGACCTCATTTGATTGGTTAATTTCAATGAATTTGGAATACAAGTTACACATTTGTAAAACGAATCGTCATTATCGCGTTATTATAGGATGTGACATGCTAGTGAAATTTTTTTTTTTAAATGAATTAATTGTTATGTTTAAGTGCATTTATTGTTATGACCACTTGTCGCCCTAGGCCTGACACGTAAGGCTAGAATTAACTTCTTGATTGAGTAGAGCTGTCTACTCAGTGAGTCATCACATTAACCACTATTACAAGAACTTATATGAAGATCTTCCCTAAGATGCATCTACCTACGTCGCCTCATCCATGAGGGCTTGGCTCTTTATGGGGGTTCAGCCAAATTGCCACATGTGCATAATAATGTGGAATTCAGGTCTAAATTCTCTTACCGTGTGACTGCCACTTAGCAATGCTTAGAGCCTCGTTGGAAGAAGTGTAGCAATTTTAGTAAATTGAAATTTCAACCTTGATCCTTGGACATAGAAGAGAAGCAGCAATTGAAGATTCATCAAGAAACTATTAAAAAAATTTTAAGATTTCAAGATTTATCTTCTTCCTTTTAATTTATCCAAATTTCGTGTTTTGTTTCTCTAATTAAATATGATTTCTTACAATTTTGTTATGCTAGGCTAGGGTTTCAAACCAAAAAAAAAAAAAAAAAAAAAAAAATGGA